AATATCAGGAAAACTCTGATCAATGATCACAGGAGATAATCTGCTTGTTTTACAGTTTTTTCCTCCACTATTTGGGTTCACTGTACAGTTTATCAGTTGCATTAAATATAATATGAAATATGAATAAAATCTGTCAGTCAGGGGTCGCCCCTTAAGAAAAAGGAACCACTGCCTTAAACATTAAAATGTGTCTGTTTGTAGACGACATCCAGGTCCGGTTCTATGAAGAAGACGACACGGGGTTGACCTGGGAGGCTCTGGGAGATTTCTCCCCGACTGATGTTCACAGACAGGTGAGTACGAGGGGTTTTAGCTCCTCCGGTGCCCTTTCCTCAGAGGTTAGAGATTATCTCCTTTTATTGTACGACATAAAATCCATCAGTAAATACCTGTGAATAAAGCTTCTAGTGGTGTTCTCTGTTGTCAGTTTGCCATCGTTTTCAAGACTCCGAAGTATCGAGACCAGAACCTGCAGAAGCCGACGTCCGTGTTCGTCCAGCTGAAGAGGAAGTCTGACAACGAGACCAGCGAGCCCAAACCCTTCACCTACCACCCTCAGATCATAGGTAGGTCAGATAGCTCCGCCCTCAGGTCATAGGTAGGTCAGGTGGCTCCGCCCACAGATCACCTGGGTACATGCTCGTGTGTGTGTGTGTTCAGACAAGGAGGAGGTGCAGAGGAAGAGACAGAAGACATTGCCGAACTTCCAGGACTTCAGTGGCCATGGAGGAGGAGGTCTGTACCGAGGAGGAGGAGGAGGTCCTGCCTGCAGGGGAGGAGGACCTGGCTCTGGGGAGGAGGAGGTGGAGGAGGAGGTACAAATAAGACTGAAAACTTGAATTTGGTTTCCTGTAAAGTGTGTATGAGCTGACGTTGTGGGTGTGTTTGATTTGTCCTCCAGCTTACTTCCAGGGCTTCACTACCTACAACTATGGCACAGGAGGAGGTGGGGGAGGAGGTGGTTTCTCCACAGGATACTCAGCTGGTCTGGGAGGAGGAGGCATCAAACATGGTGAGAAATTACAACA